GCACAAGAAATTCTGGAGACTGTGTTAGTCAGCTTTCCCATTTCTGGACACAATACCCAATACCCATGACTTAAAGGAGGAGAGGTTTAATTTGGCTTATGTTGTAAGGGGATTCAGTCCATGGTCTGCTGAGTCCAAGGTGGAAACATTATGGCAGGAGGGCATGGTGCAGCGAAGCTGATTAGTTCATGACCGCGGGGAAGCAGAGCAGGAGAGCTGCCAAAGAGGAAGGAATGAGAGACCAGACATAGATCCCAAGGTCCTACCTCCATAACCTACCCAGATATACCCAAAAGTGTGCTCCCCCAATCCCTTGGGTGTATCCAAAGCAAATGAAGTTGACATTCCACCCTAATGGCCCCAGGGACTTGTTGGGGCTGGCAATCTACAGTTGCTCCCCATGGTTACACATCTGTGGTATGGAAGCAGGATGAGCTGTCTTCCCTCTGGTACCACAAGGAAAACAGATTTGGATTGATTAGGAAGAACTTGGTGAAACTCTGTTATTGATCAGGCTGCCTGGTAAGATGGTGAGAACCCTGCCCCTGGGGATATTAAAGAAGAGACCACTTAATACTCTATTATGAAACTTCCAAGGGGCAGAAGTTGATCTGGGTGACCTCTGAGGTCTTAGAACTGCCTGAGCATTAAATCAGGGATTCCCTATCTATAATGCCAAGTGCAGGTGTCACCTGCAGCATGTCACCAGTTCCAGAGTGAAAATGTTAGCCTTTCCATGGATCATTATCTCCCTGTGTTCCTCACTGTCCTGTCTATCAGAATACTTGGACACCCACAAAGCTTCCCCGAGACATACTTCCTAGTGCTTCTAACCTCTGTGTACCTGTTCATGTCTCACCTATTTTGTATTGGTTTACATTGAGCCTCTTGGGCATGTGTTAAGCTCTAGAGACAATTTTCTTGTTTGTTCTTACATTGATCCAGCAAATATTTAATGAGCACTTACTTTGTGCTGGTGCGTGTGTGAGTGGTAGGGCATGTAGCAGTAAATAGGGGTGGGGGGGCTGACCTGATGGCTGTGGGTATAACAGCCTGATAGTGGGCCACCGTGGCACTGTGGATTGGAAATGTGGGGGCAAGAGTCTGATTTCAGGCCTGACTTAGGGGTGGCTGGGAAGGGGACCCCCCACTAGAAACGTGTCCTTTAGCTCGACCTGAAGGAAGACGAGCAGCTGGCAGCGGGGAGAGAGTAGGGCTGGGAGAGCATGCTCACCATTGCTGCAGCTCCAGCTGTGCCCCGAACACAAGACAGGACACCTGGCGGGTGTTGCCGAGGGTATATTTGGAAGAGGAAAGAGGACTGCCTGGCCAGGGACTTCCCATCCCCTGCTCATCTAGCACCTGGGCTGAATCACCTGTGACCTGTATGGGTAGGCACATGAGGGTCTGCAGGTCAAGGCAGCTCTGATGGTCTCTGAAATCCAGTCCCGGGTGACGTGCGGATTGTTCATGCCTTTGTTCCCCTTCATGGATATGGATGGCTATGAGAATGGGCTGTGTTCCAAACATTTCTACATCCCTGCAGTGACAGCTCCTTTGAGATCATGTAGATACCTGTGATTCCCATAATGATCCCTGAACACCCACTTCTAAGTGGGGGGAGTTTTCAAGGTAGAATGTGATCCCCCTGCACCCCAGACTTCTATCTACTTCTTATCTACTGTCACTTATGTCTTAGCAGCCCGCTGCTACCCTCCCACCCAGCTACTTGCCCCCAGATAAGAGAGACCGAGGGAGGAGGCCAGTCTGCCTCAAGCAGTTGTACCCGGCGATTATTTCCTGTTATTGCCAATTGAAGATAAGTAGAAAATAACAGAGGAATGGAACCAGGACTCAAAGCCAAGTGCTTGGCATGCATTACCATGACATTTGCATGTGTGTCACATGGGAAGCCCTGTGTCAGCTGAGCGTGAGGTCAGATCTGCTGCCCTGGGAGATAAAAGAGCTGGATTCCAGCTTTGCTAGCTGTGCCAGCTGTGCCAGCTGTGCTGTCCTGACCACTGTCCATCTGCAGTCTCAATTTCTTCATCCATGAAATAGGGATGTGGTACTAGACTATTCTGCCATTTCATGGAGAGTTGGGGCCATTCTCCCATCGGGCCTGCCTCCTGGCCAGGAAGTGCAGCTGTGGCTACTGTCCATAGTGACCAGAAGAGATGGCGTCTAAGCTTGGGCACCACGAAGGGCTGACCATAGTGAATACAGGTGATCACCTAGGAAGAGGGCCACTGGGGCAGGAAACACAGTCCAGGAGATCGGAGGAGAAGCATCTAGAAGTGGGATGAGAAATAGAGACAGAAAAATACCAGCTGAGCATCCCCAATCCAAACTCTAAAATTCTCTAAAATCATGAACATGTTGGGCAATATGATGCCACAGATTGGCATCTGTGGCCCCATGTAATGGGTCATAGTAGAAATGCAAGCATACTAAAAATATTATGTAAAATTATGTCCAGTCTATCTGTATAGGTGTACTTAAAACGTAAATGAATTTCGTGTTTAGACTTGGGTCCCTTCCCAAGACATCTCATTATGTATAAACAAATGTTTTAAAACCTGAAAATAAAACTGCAGCCTGAACCCCATCTGGTCCCCACAGTTTTGGATAAGGGGTATTCACCCTGGATAATAGATCAGTGGCTCTCAAATGTGGCTCATGAACCAGCAGTGTCACATGGGAACTTAGAGCCTGGTATAGGTGAGACCCAGAGATCGGATGTGTCCTTGGAAGGCCAAGAAGGGAAGAGAACTAGCAATTTCAATCACTTGCTGTTGAAAGAGGGCATTTCCATTATTACCCTTCACTGAAACTTTTCAGCATCATGGCAAAGCAGGCTTTGTTGTGATTTGTTAAACAGGACTTAGGTGAGGCATCTGAGACTCACAGACATACAGTTTCGTGACAGAGTCACAGGGATAGCAGCAGACGTGAGGGATTAGAACTCGGGTCTCTTCGGTCTCAAAGCCTGAGTTCTTTCCCCTGTATCTGGCTGCTTCTCCACCACATGCCCCTTAGCGGTGCCTCCACTGCGCAGCTCTGGCTGCTGCCTCTTTCCCCCCGGGGCCCCCTGCCCACCACCCCCAGCTCGCTGTTCTTTCCTCCTGCAGCGTGCTTTGCAAAGGCAAAAGCAACACGTCTTTCAGGCAAATGAGGAAGACTGTGGGATACAAGGGAGCAGAGTGGAACGCTGTGGCGTGGGGTAGGGTGGGAAGATTGTCCCCTTGTGTCCCTTGGCCTTCAGCCCTACATGCAGCTAAGGCAGGTAGGTGCTGGCATGAAGCTTTCTGCAAAGTAAGAACTCACACACTGGGTGATAGTTCTGAGCTACTCACTGATACCTACATATGCCAGACCCTGTGCTGGCTGCCCTGGGGGAAACTGAGGCAAGGCAGGTGTAGTTTCTGGCCTCAAGGAACTCATAATCCAGAGCCAGAGAAACAACAAATAATAGTGGCCACCTGGGATGCTAGAGAGATGGCCAGGGCGGTTATAATCTTTCAAGGCACTCATGTGGTGACTTTAGGGGACAGACCTATGACTTCAGAGCCAGCAGACGTAGGTTCCATTCCCAGCCCTGTTGCAGACTCCTTGGGGACTCTAGGCCAGGTTACTTCGTATCTTTGACTTTTTAAAAAATTTTTTTTATTTTAAAGAGAAAAAATAAAAATAAAACAGTTTCTAAACAGGTTAGTAGGAGAGTTAATTGATACAAAAATTAATACATTGTGTATTGTTGTCTTTCTAGTACTTATTCAGAGTACAAGATACAGGCATGATATCTTGTCCAAACTATATTAGCACAAACATAGTTTATTTTCAATGAACTAAGAGAGACTAGCTGTAGAACAATCTTAACTACCTTGCATATAAATTTATATTTTTCTTCTTCCCTTCTTCCTTTCCCTTTTTCCCCATCATCTATCTTTTCTTTTGAGCAGTTTCTTCCCAGTTCACAATATCTGTGAATATCTTAGCAGAAGGATAGCCATGTTCAACAAATGGGTGACAAAACCTTGGGGCACTGGGAAGTGTGTTACTGTATGTTGTATGGGTCTTTGATTTGAGAGGGAGCACAGGAAATTCTGGAGACTGTGTCAGTCAGCTCTCCCATTTCTGGACACAGTACCCAATACCCATGACTTAAAGGAGAGTTTAACTTGGCTTACGTTTTAAGGGGATTGAGTCCATGGTCTGCTGAGTTGGCTCTTACTTACTTGCTCAGTTTCTCACACTAGTGAGACAGTACGGTGTTTACACATGTGGGTCTGATTTATTTCACTTGTGAGTGTGGTACCAGTCCTTGCTTAGGTGTTGTTCTCTTAGATCACAATAGGCGCTCACCTGCCGGTGAGTTGATTTCTTCCCTGGAGGGATTAATTTAGGCTGGAGCAAAATGGGGACAGCTGTATGTAAGAGGAAGAATTTAGTATGTGCCTCTCATACCCTTTCTAAGAAATCTCTGGTCAGACTGTGGAAGAAGGAGTTAGTGAAGGAGAGTGGCTTTCCAGGCAGCGCTGTCTGAGTGATTAATTTAGGCTGGAGCAAAATGGGGACAGCTGTATGTAAGAGGTAGAATTTAGTATGTGCCTCTCATACCCTTTCTAAGAAATCTCTGGTCAGACTGTGGAAGAAGGAGTTAGTGAAGGAGAGTGGCTTTCCAGGCAGCGCTGTCTGAGTGAAATTAGGGCGAGAGCAGGTTGCCTTCCTCAACTTGGAAACTTTGGGAGATTTTTTTTTGAGTGGATTGGTTTTGGTTCTTTGAGGGGCTCACTCTAGCCCAGGCTGGCCTCGAACTCTCAGTCTTTCTGCTTCAGTCTCCCAACGGCTGGGATTACAGCCGTGCGCCACCACACCCAGCTTTGGGAAATCATTTTTAAAGCGTGGGTTAAATTCCGGTGGCAGAAGCACCACAGTTGCCCACCTGCACGACAGGCATTGTCTCACGCAGGTCCCCTGTCCTCTGCTCCTTCCTGCAGATGATGCGCTTTGCCTGGCAGAGCTACCGGCGCTACGCTATGGGGAGGAACGAGCTGCGCCCGCTCACGAAGGACGGCTACGAGGGCAGCATGTTTGGTGAGTGGGCAGGGCCCCTGCCTCCGGGGCCGAGTGGGAGTTCGCCTTCACTTCCAGAGTGCAGCCGTATCTCTCCAGGCCCAGGGGCATCTCCGCCTGGGTTCCTCTGGGCTCTTCCTGCTCCCCAGCCTTCCCAGCCTGAGGGAAACCCTGTGCTCCTCTCAGCCCTACGGATCTCCAGGTGTATGGTTATCACTTAATGCTTTAGAGCAGAGGAACCTGGGAGCGTCAGCAGGGATGGTGAGGGATGAGGTCTGGTTCTGGGGAGGAGGCCTGACTGTCTAGAGGACGCTGAGGACTGAGTTTAACTTCGTGCCTCCAGAGGGTGTGGGGAGATGATGGGAGGCATCGTCCCAGCAAAACCAACACACATCCCATGGGGCTGGGCGCCCGGGCTGCCGCTCGAGTCCAGGGGTGTCTTGCAGAATGACACACGTCAGGGTTTCAGCCTCCCTGGCTGCTGGCTTTGTTCTCCTGGCCGCAGCGTTCTTCAAACCTGCAGCCTTATGAGCCCCTCTCTTCCCGTCTCCTCTCAGAGAAACTACCAGGCCTTATCATGGGCCTGGCTCGCATTTCAAACAGTGCCTGCTTCCTCTCTGTGGCGGCTCCCTTGAGAAGGTGCTGCCTGTGGCCTGGCTGCCTTCTTGCCTGAGAGATGTGCAGGGGTGGGGGAGCATGGAGGGGAAATCCATCCTCCCCGTTCCTCACCCCTGAGACACGGGCTGCTGGAGTCTGGAACCAAAGAACCAAGTCTGAGGTGGAAATCTCCAGGAAAACCTGAAGGGCAAATTTACAAGGCATACAAGGAATGGCCCTGGGTGTGTGGCCACAAGGATTTGAGTTGTGGGAACGGTGCCAGGGACCCAGCTTCTCCTCCTGACCAGTCAGCCTTGTCATATATCCGGCTGTCCCCCACACCTGGAGTGGGGTGGATTTGGATTGTTTCGTTGATTTATCTTTCTGATTATCTTAGGAACATAAGGGGAAAAAAAAGAACAATATCAAAAAAAGTATAAAGCAGGCGAAAAATTACTTGATTGCCATGTAGATATAGCCTCTGTTGACATCTTGCCTCATTGCCTTCCAGTGTTTCCTCCTGTGAGTTTTTTAATCTTTCTATATACAATTTTATGTCCTTTTCCCGCTCTCTTTATCTCTCTCTGTATCTTTCTCTCTTTTTAATGTTACATCATAAGTATCATTTAAATTTTTTCATGAAGCACATCTTAATGGTTTTAGTGATGGTGTGGATATGGTGCGCTAATTCATTTAATCTTCCCGCTAATGCTGGGCAAAGGTTGTTTCCAGATTTTGCTATTAAGAGTAATGTATGAGTTATTGCTTTATGCATAAAGGAATAGGAATTTATCTAGGAGTAGGTTCCTAGAGAGGAATTCCCAAGTTAGATGGGGTAAAGACACTTTTCTTTTTTTTTTTTTTTTGGTTTTTCTCCGGTACCGGGAACTGAACTCACGACATTGCGCTTGCCAGGCAGGCGCTTTGCCGCTGAGCTAATTCCCCAGCCCCAAGACACTTTTCTTTAACCTCAGAATGTAGCACATGGATCCTGGTGGGGAGCTGCCGCCACACCTGTCTGGACTACAGATCTGCGCCCCGGCCTCCCGCGTCAGCCCTGGAGAAAGAGGGCTGGTGTGGAGCTTGTCGAAGTTGTTGGAGATTGTGCTGTCAGTATGATGGAAATGTGATGGAGAAGGCTTCCCCTCTCCTTCTCTCTAAACAGTTTGCAAATATTCAAGGAATTGGAGCTTGATGAGTAAGGGAAGCTGTTAACTTCCAAAATTGCTCAGCCGGGGCAAAGCTATTGCTCAGGCCATCGTGGGAAACACTTCTGGGAGGGAATGAGCTGAACTCAGTCCCATTGTGTAAAATTCCTTAGACCCTAAGACTTAAACCTCAACCTTCCATCCCCTTTCTAATCACCAAGCTGGGTTAAGCATGGGCCACCCATAACAGTGAATAGAACCTGGACCTTGAGCCAGAAGACGTGGATGCAAATCCTCACTCTGTCTTCAGCTGTGTGGCCACATCCAAGTCAATGACCTTTTGGGGCCCCTGTTCATTCATTCTGCATAGTGGGGCTGCTATGAGAATATAAACACGTGTATATGAACATGCCAATGGACACGCACATATGCACTCATTATACACTCATCATTCATGATTTCTGTTATGATAGATGAAGTTGATGGTCACCCCGGTGAGTCCATGGTAGGCTCTGAGGTCCCCTGGATTGTCTGTCTCCCATGAGTGGCCTTGGACCTGAAGAACCCCATCACAGTGAGCAGGTAGCTGGCAGATGAACCATCTTTGCCAGCTTCCTTTGGGAAAAAAGGGTACACAGGCACCCAGGAACTGGGCAGGCAGTGCTGATCTGAATTTACTCTCACTCACCAAGTTCTAGGGGTACAGGAGCCCCCACAGGGTATAGTGAAATCTCTGTCAACTCTACCAAGACATGTACCCCTTCCCTGGGGCCCTCTGGGGTCTACCCAGAAAGTCTAAGCGAGAAAGACAAATAGAGGTGATCACAGATAATGATATGAATAGTCGTTGAGGTCATTGGCTTGAGGTTCTGTATCTCTGGAGCCAGGCAGACCTGGGTTCAAATTTAGACTTCGCTGCTTCCTGGTTGTGTGATCGTGGGCAAGTTGTTTCTCTCTGGGGCTGTCTTTCTGTAAAGTGAAGTTAACATCAGACTTCCAGACCAGGTCGTGCCTGACACAGAGATGCTGTTAATAGGTGGTAGCTATGATTATTACCACAAATAGGTTTGGGGATGTGGAGGCTTATGAGAACATACCCAGTGGATAAGGGCTGCGAGCTGGGGGCCGGGAGAGGTTCCAGCTGGGGTGGCCCTGCACAGATGGACACAGGAGAGCCGGCTGGAACTAATCAGCGCGTCACACGACCACGTCTTTTCTAGCTGCGTGGCGGGGAGGTGCGGATGGGTTGCATCACTCGATCAGTGACCTCGCCGTGGGCCAAGTCCTGCAGACACAGGACACTTCAGGGATGGTCAGGTGGTAGGCAGTGCCCATCCTGCCCCTCCCGCTGAGCCGGCTGCACAGGGAGACCCTGAGCAGTCTGCCCATGCGCATTGCTCAGTCTGGACAGGGCTGCTGGCGGCCACATCCTTGGGCCTGTGGGGCGGTAATGAGTTCATGCTGTTGCCTTGCTCTGCCAAGATTCATCAGAGCTGCAGCGAGCACAGTCAGACGCCTGAGCCTGGTGCCCCGTGCAGCCTTTCACCACCCTGAGTCCCCCTTATAGCTGCCTCTTGCCTTCCTCAAATCTGTTCTTACTTTGAGGACAAGATCTCTTAGTGAGGCGTCTCTTGAGCCTGACTGAATGAAATGATTGTGTCCTAATCATTTCATTGACTCTGTGGCTTCCTTTCCGCCCACATCTGGCTCAGCAGGCCCTGTCAGAAAATACTCCCAAGGCCCCAGTGGTCACCAACAAAGAAGGCACAGGCTGCCCTGGCCTTATGGCCCAGGCCAAGGCAGAGCGCTGCCTTTTTCTTTTCCTCCGAGAGTTGGCGGGATAGGACAGCAAGTGTCTAGCTGGGTGGCAGGCAGAGCGTGGGCTTTGTGTCCAGATGAACCTGGGTGGTCTCGGGCTGCAGAGTGGGCAGGGCCCCTGCCACCTGGGCCCGTGGTGATTAAAAGGGATGTGCAATGGGCTGGGCCCCCGCCAAGCACAGAGCAGACACTTGGCTGGGGGTGCTCTTGTCACAGAAGTGAGTTTTCAGCTTGAATGCATGGGAGAGTCGGGGGCCAGAGGGAAGGACGTACAGTAGCAGCCACACACGACGCCGTAAAGTGAGTGGCCCAGGATGGTGAGGCCCAGCTTTCTCACCTGCGGAAAGGGGCAGGTGTTGACTCCTGCTGTTAGGGTGTGGGGTCTAATAAAGAACTAGCTGAAAGCCTGGACTCTGAGCCAGAGGGCTTAGATTTGTGGGCTGCAATCCTGCTTAGTAGCTGTGTGAGTTTGACCAAGTTTCCTTCCCTCTCTCATTCTCTCCCTCCTTCCCTGTCTGCCCCACCCCTCCCTTCCTTCCCTCCTTTCTTCTGTCTGCCCATGCTCCCACCTGCCTGCCTTTCTTTCTCTTTTTCTTTCTTTCTTGTACTGTGGATTGAACCCAGGACCTTTTCACTGAGCTACACCCAGCACTTTTTTATTTTTTAAATTTCGAGACAGGTTAGGCTCAAACTTGTGATCCTCCTGCCTCAGCCTTGCCCAATTTGGGAACGTTTCTTAACCTCCCTGGTCCTGTTTCCTTATCTACAGAGTAGAACAGTGATAGTACCTCCCTCTCAGGATTTGGAGAGTGAAATGAGTGAATGCGTGTGAAACTCCCCAGCACTGGGGAGGCACTCTGCATGTGTGCCCTGCTGTGAGGGTAATGCAAGGCCCTGAGGCCAGTGGGTACTGTTCCCATCTTGACTAGGTCTTGCCCAAGTCCCTGGGGCCCAGGACTCCATATGAGGGCTGCAGGGATGCCCCACCCCGATCCCTCCGGGCCTGTCCCCCAGCCCTTGAATGCCCAATGCAGAAACTGTGGGTGGACACCCCTTTGGTGGACGGTGTACCTCTCACCCCTTCATTTAAGCAACTTCCTGAAATTTTTAACAGGAAAGAGGCAGAGAAAGGTTAGGGTTCAAAGCCATGGGATAAATTAGCCTTTGACTAATATAAGCATTTGGGAGTAACTCATAAGTGACCACTGCCACTGGGTGTCAGCTGGCAACCTTTTTTTTTTTTTCAGACGGGGTCTTGCTATATAGCCCAGGCTGGCCTCAAGCTTGAGGCGGCCCTCCTTCCTGCCTCCCGAGTGCTGGGATTACAGGCCTGCACCCCCATGCCCGGCTAAGCCAGCCAGCTTTAAAGGTACTTAGCAAGCACTCGTCTTTCCAAGTTAGCGCAGTCTGTGAGAACTTCCTCTTCCCATTCATTAAATGTAAGATGCTGCCATTTTT